TAAGCAGCCCTTCTTTCTCCCATGATTGATTTCTCTAAGGAGTGTATCTACCTCAGGTAAATGTTCAACTCATATGCCTATCTTTTGTTTGGCTGGAAGCTGCAGGTGTGGGTTCAATTTCAGACCTGAAGGGCAGCTAGGATTCAGGCTCTTTCTTAAGTTTTCTCATTTTATGCTCACAGTAACCTTTTGGGAAGGCTGCTATGGTAAAGAACTGAGGCTCAGAGTGGTAAGGTGGTTTGCTCTAGTTTGAACCCAGATCTCCAGACCCCAGGGCTGGTCTATTGCTCAGGGCAGACATTAAATGAGGCTGAACTTTGAACCAAGAGATAGCATCTTGTGTTCTTGAAGTTGAGTTCCAATTTCCAGTTATGGGACCTCCATAACAGCATTATTAGGTTACCCAGAATCCTTGATTTTCTTGGGACATTGGGATTTAGAACAAAGATATGAAGTGCCTCAGGAGAGATATTAAGTGCTCTGGTGTTAGCTTCCACTTGGAGAGAGATGATAGGGACACATATTGGCTTATCAAGGCCCAGTTCCCATGTTTCTGGAAGAAGGGGCCTTGAGAGTAATGCCTGTGTGCACCAAGCTATTGTAAATCTTGACATTTTCAAAATAGTGCAAGCTCACAAGACCATTTAAATAAGAGTCTCAGTCCCCTTAAGAAACATCAGATCAACAGTGGTGATGTTCTGAATTACACTAGTAAATTTGTAAATGTGTCAAGTAAATAAAATAAAACAAGGAGATATTTAAAAAGTGCAATAAAATAGAAGGAGATATTTGGATAGTGATGATGTTTGAACAACAAAATAAAAGTGAACATTGTCACTGAATGTAAATAATGTTGAAGTGGCAAATATTTTGTTGCATATGCATTTACCACACACACACACGCACACACACAGAAAAAATCATAAGGACATTAAGAAATATTGAGAGAATATGGAGATGTGATGCCAATCTTGATTGCTACCTCTTGACCCTGCTGCCCAAATGAGAACTGAAGAGGAGACTACTTCTGGGTTTTTGGAGTTGAGTTTCAATTTCCAGTTATGGGACCTCAATATGAACACTATTAGGTTACCCAGAATCCTTGGTTTTTTTGAGATGCTGAGATTTAGAACAAAGATATTAAGTGCGTTAACAAGCCTGAGGCAGTGCTGAATGTGACTTTAGGCCTTCAGGGCAGTTCTTTTAGAATATTCTGGGATCACATTGAGGAGCCAGAAGGTCCAGAGTAGCAAATACCCAAAGAGCATACCAATGAGAAGAGAGTTTTGATAGAAACCCTCTTTAGGCTTTTAAACCAGATACTTTTCTTACTTTTTAAGCTGTTTCTACTTTTTCTTATAGCATAGCCAGATAAGACAGTGCTGACAGAGCAGATTTGTCACATTCTTAGCACAGCCATATCAGAATCCCAGATTTATCAGGGCGCTCTGACCTCCAGTGTTGCACGTCATTGCTGTAATTCCAGGACTTTTTACCACACCAAAAAAAGTGTTGTGCTAAGTAATTGGAACTTATATATTTAACCAGCCAGAGTTGCCATTCACATTATAGTCAAAATCTACAGGAATAGAAAATTAATCTCTCAGAAAAGTTGCAAGTGGATTGCCACTGATTTTTGAGGGACTGCTCCTGGTAGGAAGAGCAGGATTTGAAAATAAAAGTTGGGTTGTATTTTACCTCATTCACCAAATTACTTTCTCGGTAGCCTGAAGAGAAGCAGAAGTCCTTGTTGGGAGGGCAGAGAGGTTCTCTGCATCTTTGAAACCAGCCACTTGGCTTCCAGCCAGGCCATCTCCGCACCACCAGGGAGCGAGGTGGCAATTCAGGTTTAAGAACAAGTATTTCAGGGGATGTGTTTGTGCCTGCTAAATGCTTCTTGAGACAGGATGATAGGACATGAGATTCATTTTTTAAAGTAGTGTTTTATTGAGTTTTTGGTGAAAGTTGACAGCATTCTATGTTCCCATTTGACAGTTTCCACACAAATTGTTCAGTGACACTAGTTACATTTATCACTGTGTGTCAACATTCTCTTTACTTCTGTTCAGTTTATTCCCTTTCCAGTACTCTAGTTTCCCTGCCCTCGTATCTTCTTAGCTTATGAGTAATTATTGAACTTTTGTTCTCATACTGTTGCCACTCTTAATGACATACTGAAGCCACTCTTCGCCCTCATCTACCAGATGTCCACCAAGCTGACCTAGTGGCAGCCCCAAAGGCAGTTTGAGAACTAGTGTCATATAGGCATTGTCATTCAGAACTTTGACATTGGGCCAAGAAGCGGGAAAGATGAGATGGGATAGCAGCAGGATGGTGCTGATTTTCTGATGTCTGTCTTTAGTGCTTTCTGATCATGGCCAGGATATTGCCAGCCCCACAGATTCTTAAGGGAAGGGAACAGAAGCTTATGATGCAAAGAGTACAGAATTTAGAAACTGAAGACCTGCATTCCTGTCTTGGTCTTATCACTTATTGATGAAGTTATCTTGAGCCCAATTTACTTTTCCCTAAAATGAAGGTTATGGTGTTAGTAGTTGAGATGTGTAAGAAAATGTTTTGTAGACTGTAAAGCACTTTAGAGGTAATAGTGGATAGTGCTGCTGTTGCTTTATTGTTGTGCCCTTATTGAACAGGGAGGGCTTCCCTCCACCCCAAGGTGGGAATGAGGCAGGTGGAGAGAGAGGGCTTAGATTAGAATTCATGTTTTCAAATTCCCTGGTGAGTGGAGATGACTTTCTTGAAGAATCTGGGTATAAATAAAGCCTAACCCTTGAACACGGTACAAGGATTTCTGAAACAGGTGTTAAAGGATCTGCTTCTTTCTTTGTCTAGATGTTCATGCCTTGACTCTGGTTTTTTGGGAAGACCAGGCTGCTGCCTGCCAGATGAAGTCATAGGATTCCAAGGGTTCACCTGGGAGCAGAAGCTGGGAATTCAGAGACTGCCTGTGGTTGGAAGATGGCAGGGTGGCACGGGTGGTGCACAGTTGCAGGGCTCAGGGAGCAGCCTAGCCATTAGGCTCTGGCTGCTTCACATTTGGCTTATTGGGATTCAGGGTGCTTGAACCCTCAGTGCCCAGCTTGTACCAGACACACAGCATAGGACGTGAGAGGGATGTGGAGTAAGACAAACTGTTGTAGGTATAGCAATCTTTCCTGTTTTCACCTTTCTGTTATGCTGATTTAGACCTACTAATCTCTAGGGAAGGTGCCTAAGGCACTTGACTGCTGGTCAGAAGGCTGGTGGTTCAAATTCACCAGCCACTCCTCAGAAGGAAGGTTGGGCAATCTACTTCCGTAGTGATACCTCCTGGGAAACCCAAGGAGGAGTCACTATGAATCAGGTCTGACTTGATGGCACATAACAACAACAACAATCTCTAAGGAGGCTCAATGTTCAGCTTGGAGATGGAGCTAATATCTTAACACTGCCATATTGACTCTGACAGTGAACACATTTTAACTGTCTGAATCAGGAGCCTTTAAAAATGTCCATAGCCTTTGATTTGGTAATTTTACCTCTGGGACTTTAACCCAAGAAAACAATTTGAATTGCAGAAAAAGCCTATACTCAATAATGTATTGATTTTAATAGTGGGGAGGGGATACATCTAAAATGCCCAACACTAGAAGAATGTAACCTTTCTAGAATGTGGCTGTGTGGCACAGTTAAGTGCTGACTACTAGGTGAAAGCTTTGAACCCATTCAGAGGCACCTCAGAAGACAGGCCTGGTAATCTGCTTCAGAAAGATCACAACCTTGGAAACCCTGTGGAGCATTCTACTCTGCACACAGAGGGTTGCCATGTGCCAGAATCAACTTGATGGTAACTAACAGCAACAAAATCATGAGAATTAGGACTTTTTTCACTACTGTGTTTCTAGCATCTAAAGCAGAGCTCGAGTAATCATTTTTTGAATGGTTATGGAAAGAAAAAAATGTATATCCATATAAGACTATTCTTCAGCTATTTCAAATGAAGGAGTCTTAATGACATAGGGAATTTTTATGTTAACAGTGAGAAGAGCAGGTACAGATTTTTATGTACACTATTTTTTTTAAGCAATGGAAGAAAAGAAAAACTTAGAAGATATCCAGCTTTTATTTCCAAGTGGTGAGGTCATAGATGATTTGTTTTTCCCTCTCTATATTTTCTAAATTTCTAAAATGACCATGCATTAATTTTGTGTTTGTGAAAAGTGTTTTATATAGCACCTATTATTATTTTTTGAAAAGGAGGCGAGGTTAGTTTATTCGTGAAGCAAACCAGCAGCCTGCAGAGTCAGCTGCCCAGGGGCCTCTAGAATGGAAGGCCAGTTCCTCTCCCTTTTCAAAGAACCAGGCAGCCTTTGTCCATGCACAAAACACCTACACACTTTGGTTGTGTCTGTCAGCTTGGCGTGGAAGCCGATCCTCCTAACTTCAAAAGGGTGATAGAAACCCCACAGTGTTGAAATTGTACAGGTCATGTTGCAGAGGCATGCCCCTACATTTATATCCCATCACTGAAGTGAAGATATTTTGTAATCAGGAGAAGAATTTTAAGAAGATAGAATTTTCTGGGTGGGTGGCTAATTCTTAGAATTCCTTCCTTCCTTCATGGTTGTTGGAAGCCGTTGAAAGTGCCGCCTGCTTTCCTTCATTCTTGTAGCTCGTGCCATCTTAAAGTAATTTTATGTTCACTGTCTCAGTTTGTTGAAATAAATCTCTCTCTAAGATGGAGTGTTCTGTAGGAGCCAAGACTTCCCTAGAATTAAAATCCCTGCCTTTAGGTAGGCTTTGGCACCTGAGCTGGAAGATCTTGGCTTTTAAATGTGGCTGAGTTGTGACAGATCAAAGGCATCTCAGAGAAGAGGCCCCGCTTTCACACCCTGGAAGGAATCTTTGATGGCCAAGGGTCCCTGAATATTACTGATAAGTGTTTGTAATCCCTTCCGTTCACACATCTTTCCGTTCATCATCTCTTTCTTTCTTTTTAGCCATAACCAGCAGACCACAGTGTTTAGACATCCTGTGACCGGGCAGTTTTCGCCAGAAAATAGTGAATTCATTCTTCAAGAAGAGTAAGTATTTTTGTCTATTCTCCCAATCCAGGCAGAGTTTGGGGACTCAGAGGCATTTGTTCAAAACAAAGCTTATTGAACTATCTACTCTCTCAGATAGAGGGGCTTAGAATGGGCTGCTTGAAGGTAAAATTTGAGAAGAATTTTATTTCCAGTCTCCAGACTTTTCTCAGTGGGAAGATGTGGAAGAAGAGAGATGATGTCAGGATGTGCTGTGACTGGTATTGTCAGAGCCTCTCAAAGTGCTCAGACCCAAATGAACTTTCCTGTCAAGCATAATCTAACACATTAGCTGTGTTCTGAGAGGTCCCACTCATCTGATGTGAAAATTCCTTAAAGATAGGCCCAGACCGAACTGAACCAACCTCCCAAGGCAGTGTCAAGTAATAGTCCAAAGTCAGGCTTTAGAAAGAACTCAGTCTGAGAAAAGAAGCATTGGTGGTGCAGTGATTAAGTGCTGAACTGCTAACTGAAAGGTATGGCTCGAATCCACCAGCCACTCCATGGGAGAAAAATGTGGCAGTCTGCTTCCATAAAAATTACAGCCTTGGAAATCCTATGGAGCAATTCTACTCTGTCCTACATGAGTCGGAATCGACTTGATGGTAATGAATTTGTTTTTTTTGGGGTTTGGGGTTTGAGGAGAGCTGATGGTACCCACTGTCCCTGAATGTTTTACTCACTTTTCCTAACTCAGGAACATTCTTGCTCTTCACCCTCTTTCAGTGGGGCCTCTAGGGGTACTCAGAGCCAAGTGCCACCACCTAGAGTTTGTCAATCTAAAAATGCATGTACAACCCAAGCAGAGAAAAGTAAAATGCATGTACAACCCAAAAAGAAGGCAGAGAAGTGTCACTAGTGGCTCTGCTCCCTTCTCCTCATCTGAGATATTTCTGTTTGAAAAACTAATATGGGATATTGGCTTTACATTTTTTTTTTTTTTAATTCAAATCACTTTTCCTTTGTCAATCACCTAGACTAACTTTAATCTTAAAATGAAATATGTTGTTATTGGCATTAGCTATTGTTGAGTTGACACCCAGTTCATGGTGACCATGACGTGCATAATCCCATGATTGGTCGCAGATTGAACCATTGTGATCCACAGGATTTTCATTGGTTGATTTTTGGAAGTAGATCCTCCAGGACTTTCTTCCTAGTCCATCATAGTCTGGAAGCCCCACTGAAAGCTGTTTCACATCATCGCAACAATTCTTCACTGACAGAGGGGCGTTGGCTGGGGTTGAGGTGCATTGGCCAGGAAGCAAACCCTTGTCTCCCACTTGGAAGGCTAGATTCTATCCCTGAACTACCAGTACTGCCTCAATACATTGTAGCAGTCCCTGAGTTATTAAGGAGATCTTTAAGACAGATTTGTAGGTAAGTAAGAACAGGTGTATACAATTCTTATTAACTTGACTTTCGTGTAAAAAAAGGCTTGGAGCCTTTTTAATGATTTAAAAGCAGCACATGCAGCAGGTGAAGGTGATTATGATGAAGAATTTGTTTCCAATATGTGTTGGTTCAATTGTTCCAAAGTGAGGATAAATTTACATAACATTAAACGGCAAGTATGAGTCGTCTGTAACCCAAGGACTTACTATATAGGTATTTATATTATTACAGTATTTCCTTCCCCTAGTATTTATACCTTTAAACCTTTGATTGTAGGAAATTTCAAACATATACAAAAATAGACAGATACAGCAATGAATCCAACATACTCATCACCCACATTCAACGTTTTCAAAATGTGATTACTTTTGTTTCATCTATATTCTTCCCCTCATCCCCTAGATTATTTTGAAGCAGATTCCAAACACATCACTTCATTTCTTCAGTATTTTCTGCTTAGAATCATTATCTGACAGAACTTTTAAAGTGAGAAATCTGTAATTATGATAATAGTGACATTTGTTGCATGTTTATCCTGTGTCAAATACTGCCATGCAGTGAATTACTTAATATGGCCCTTCTAGCCATAATCTTTGTAACTCCTACCAAATGATTAGATAGGACTATTCAAATTTGAGGTACAGGAGATTGGATAGCTTGCAGATGTAAATAAGATACTTGATACCCTTGTAGGGGTGGAATCATGCAAATAAGATGTATGGAACCCTAACATGGGGATTGGTCAGTTTGCCATCCTGCTAAACTTAAAATGAGCCATCTCAGAGGCAGAAAGGGGAGACCTCCCTACAATCAACAAAGAAGATCCAGGAGTAGAGTGCATTCTTTGGACCCAGGATCCCTGCACTGAAACTCCTTGATCCAGGAGATAGAGAGCTGTGATAGAGACTGCAAGAGACAGCAAGAAGCAGCAGCAGAGAGACTGTAGCAGCAGAACCAAGAGACTGGTGTGAGACAGAGAGTTGGACTTCTCAGCCCACAGAGTGAGAAAGCTGAGTGCTTTTGGGCAAGAGGCTTGTTGGTGCAGTGGGGGTGCCCCTGCGCATTTACCAGCAGAGCTAAAAAAAAAAGCTCTGTAACACTTGCCTAAGCAGGACAAAGCCAAGGGGCCTGGGGCTGAGAGGTTGAGGGCCAGAGTGAGGTGTACCTTAAGGCACTGCTGAGGAGAGGCTGTCCTGATTGAAGACCTATACCCTGAGTTGTCTCTGATCCTGAATTATAACCTGTTACTTCCATAATAAACCCCATAATCATGAGTATTTTGTGTGGCCATTGCAATAAATCATTGAACACAGCAGAGAAGTAGAGTACTGTGAGAGGGATGGTTGGTGTCAGAATTGGTAAAAAGTTTAGTAGAGGCACTTCTGACCTAGTCCTCATGGGAATCAGCCTTGGGCTATTGATGTTGATCTAGATCCTCTTGCCCCCTTGTGAAGTTAGAGGAGGTCAGATGCCTCCGCCATGCCATTTTTATTTTACATGGATATCTTGTGTAATACAATAATCTTGAGAGGTAGATCATCATCATCATTTTCAAGATGAAGAAACTGAGACTCAAAGAAGTAAAGTCATAGGCCCAAAGTAGCATGGCTAGAAGTAGAAGAGCTAAGATGTCACCCTAGGCTAAACAACAATGCAGTGCACTGCCATGGAGTCAGATCCGACTCATCGTGACCCCTCCTTGGGTTTCTGAGGTGGGTATCATTATGGAAGAAGATTGCCCAACCTTCCTTCCAAGGAGTGGCTGGTGGGTTTGATCCACCAGCCTTCTGGTTAGCTCAAACGTCTGTGCTCCCTCTATGTGGTGTTCAGTTTATTCAGGCCCAGCCCTCATCCTAGTCAGAAGCTGCTTGATAAGGTACTTTGATGCTGGTGACTTTGAAAGTGTTAATGCTATTAGAGGCGGGAGGGGGCGGAGGACAGAGAGAGAAAGAGAGAAAGAGAGAGAGAGAGAGAGGGAGAATGGAAGGTAAAGATTTTTTTGTATCCTAGACTGAGAAAGAACTTCAGTGTAAAGACAGAGCTGGAATGTGGATTCCCTGGATTCCAGCTTGGGATGAGTTTATAGAAAGAACCCTAAAGGTCAGAAACTCAACTTTCGAGAGGTCATTGAGTTTAGTCACCTTCCCTTAGATGTCCTGGAGATATAGGTGCCCACCATTATTAAAGGTCCAGATGAGAACCCATCAGAACAATGAGGAAGTTAGCAACTTCATTAAGAGCTGATAGAATAAAACAGACTTTCTTTCCATCACTAAACCTCTTTCATATACTTCTCCTTTTCCTTTCATTCTTAACAGAAAAGAAGACTGTCTTTTTCTGAGATGGTTGCCTTTTTCTATCCTACTAAAAATCTCTAACTATTCCTGATTCCTTCTTTTTTTTTTTTCTTATTTATTTATTTATTGTGATTTGGGTGAAGATTTACAGAGCAAATTCACTTTCCATACAGCAGTTCACATATACTTTGGCTCATGTCATTGA